ACGTTCTAGAGCGAATAGAATAAAAGAAATATTATATAGTATTAATAAACTTTATTAGCTCAGTTTAAGTACCAATATTAATTATTTATCTTTATACTTACAAACTAAATATGAATAAAATAAAAAACATTATATAAAAGTATTAATGAACTTGATTAGCCTATTTTATGTATCAATGTGCAAGTCACTCTCGTTATAGTGAAGTATAGGGATGTGAAATTTTCTTTACTATATCGAGAGCCTATTAGTAAATTTTGAGTAAATTCACTATATCGAGAGGGCTTTTATAAAACTTTTTCTTCACTATACTTATATCGAGAATTCATTATAACGAGAGTGACTTGTACATTAATTATCTATTTTTATACTCACCCACTAAATAAAATAAGGGGAAGCATTATAAAATAATTGTTTGATTATTTTAAGTACCAATATTAATTATCTACTTATTACTCACCCACTTAATAAAAATAAGATTATATAATAATATATATATTAATGAACTTGGTTAGCTTATTTTGTGTACCAACTTTAATTACCCGTCTTTATACTCACCCACTGAATATGAATAAAATAAATAATATTAATAACTTAATTAGTTTACACAGGTTGAATGAGGGCAAACCGGGCACTAACCGGCATCACCTGAAACCGATATTTGACGCAAATAGTATACATGGGTGTCTAAATTATTTTTGAAAAATCGTATTTTCGGCAAACATTTCGGCATTGTCAAATTTTTTGTATGAAACCTTTCGAAATAACTATATTATATGGTGTATTTTGATGAAAAGAGTTCAAAAAATTTCGGCAATAATTTCGGCAAATATGAAAATCAATTTCGGCACTATATAACGATAAGACTAATTTTGGCCGTAATTACTTTTTTATTAAGATGGGCAATTTAGGCACCCATGTATAGCAAATAGGAGACATTTAAGATACAAATCGGGATGCAGATAGCTCTATAGGTAAATCGAAAAGGCTATAAGACATAGAGATGTGAACTGTGAATAATTACAGTACATATAAATAAACAGTAGTTTATTTTAAAACTACTGTTTATTTATATTAACTAATAGTTTTCGGATCGCACCTAGGCAAGCTTTATCGATTTACCTATAGAGCTATCAGCATTCCGATATGTATTGAACGCCTATATGAACCCGATTTGTATTTTAAAGGTCTCCTATTTGCGTCTAATATCAGTTTCAAATAAGTTTCATGTGATGCCGATTGGTGCCCGATTTGCCTTCATTCGACCTGTGTTAAGTACCAACATTAATAATCTATCCTTATACTCACTAACTATAAGTAATCATTAACATGAATAAAATAAAAGGAACATTATATATAGTATTAATGAACTTATTAGCTTATTTTAAGTGTTAACTTTAATTGTCCATCTTTATACTTACATACTAATATGAATAAAATAAAATAAAAAGAGACATTATATAATAGTATTAATTAACTGATTAGCTTAATTAAGTATCAACATCAATTATCCATCTTTATACTCACTCTCTATAGGAGAATTAACGTGGATATAATAAAAGAGACGTTATATAATAGCAGTGATGAATTTGATTAGCTTAGTACCAAGATTAATTATCCTCACGGGCTAAATATAAATACACTTAATGATTGATCATTATACTTACTCCCTAAAATAACCGGGTTTGGAAACATTTAATATCTAATTTTGAATTAAATTTGAATTAATTGATGAATAATTAACAAATAACTTACTTGAGAAGCCATTCTTTAGATTTGTCAATATCCTTATCTACACCAATTCCATAACTGTAACAAATGGCCGTTTTAAATATACCCATAGAATTACCAGCTTCAGCTGACTTCTGATAATGTATAAATGCTTTATGCTTATCTATTTTAACACCAATTCCTAAGTAATAACATTGACAAACTTGATACATTCCGTTAGAATTATTCATTTCTGCTGATTTTTGATAATGAATAAATGCCTTATTTTCATCCTTTTCAATTCCAATTCCATATTCATAGCAATAACCGAGCCAGAATATTCCGCCTGGGTCATTTAAATCTGCTGATTTTTGACAATCTGTGAAGTTCAGTTGATTAAAATTATCTATAACTTGAGTAATGTAATCTGATGTGATATTATCTTTTGTAGTTGACATTTTATCATCAGTTATAAGTACGTTTTCATTGAATTGAATGTAGTACATATATATATGATTTTTATACTCTGTTCGTACTGTACGTACATATTAATATGCATGTACGTTGTACGTATCCCCCGCATTCCGCTGTACTCCCGATTAATATCGAAAGAATTTGTAATACTTTGTAATTAATATTAAAAATTTTCATTTTCATAATTCAGTTTACTTGGATAACGAAAAAGAAATGTTTATTATTATTTTTAATATATTTACTTAATTACAAAGCATCATCGAATTATCATAAAAACTCTTTCGATAGCGTAATAGCGATTAATCGGAATACAACGGAATGCGGTCGCTGTATTAGTTCACTTGAAAAGTCAAGGCAGCTATGTACGCCATCTTTACGCCACTTTTACGCCATATAAAATTCGGTAGTGACGTCTCTGCTTAATGTATGTTGTAAAAATGAAGTCGAGAAAAACGTGTACCACGTCGGGATCGTGAAGTCGATTCTCACTTTTACATGTACATACGTTGAAAAAGTGGAACTACTCTAGGGTTATACTAAAAATAACCAACTACACTGAATACGACACTAGACCTGGTTATTTTTATGTTGTTTTTACTTTATTTCCTGCCACAATCTTCACTAAATACGTACTACGATTTTTATTGACCAAATAATGCCTCCCAAATAATTGATATAAAAAGATTATACAGATAAGAGCATTTGAAAATTAAAACTTGAATGAAAATAAATTGTAATTTTTTAGACAAAAAACGAAACCATCTTATTTTGACAAATAAAATTTCAAACTCTAATTCTGAAACTTACAAATATTACTGCAGGAAGAAACAGCAAATTACAAGACTGCCTAGTTAAATTATTCTACTTCATAATTCTTTTCTTGAATTTTGGAATATTTCGTATTCTGATATTGAGAAATCACCGTTTATAGTTCTAATCACTTTTTTATATGCATTACCATTATTATAACAATATTCATTACTTGATTAATATCGTTTATCAACCAAGATCATTAGAACCAAAGCGTAGATCAAGATTAGGACGACAATAAACTTACACGACTTAAAATAGAGGAATAAATAGTACCATTTTTCAATGAACTATCTCTAGCGCTGCGACAAGTAATTTAGACTCATATAGATTGTATTGGCTATCGGATATGTTACATTTTTCTTATCAACCTATGTTGCGATCTCTGCTGCATGTGCTTCATTAATAGTCGTTGAGAACAGTTTGTCGTACGCGTCGGTAATGTTGATAATAATTGTCAATTTGGGTTTGTAATTCTTTCCAAAGATCTCTTTCTAGGATTGATTGATATTGTCTGATATGGTTCTATATAATTAACAACGTCATCTCCAAATATTTAAAACAACGGATATGGGGTAAACAATTTCGTAATATAGTTTTTAAAGCTAAAAAGTTTTTACTAGGGTGATTCAGAATTAAACTTATTTCGAAAATAAGTCAGAGTTTAAAAGGTCCTATTTTATATTTTAAAATTCCGAGTCAAAAAATTAAATAGGTGTATCCGTTAATAAAATTAGCTTTTTTTGATAAATTTCTACCGGTAAGCGATTAAGTAAATAAAGTATATACCTTTAAAAAATATAGGATTTATAGATCACGTATTTTGAAGTAAATGCATCACTTATTTTATCTGAAATCGGATACCAAATCATTAATTCTGAATCACCCTACTGGTCCAGTATTTCAGGTCCATTTTATGATGAGCCTGAATTTTGTATAATTCCCATTTAATATATAATTTTAAATTTTTACTTCCATTTATAAATCATATCATTTAACAAGAGAGACTAATGCATTCTCTTGAAGTGATTTAAATATTCAGAGTCAAATATCTTATTGGGTATTTTGGCAAAAAATCATTATGGCATCTTTATAAATTTTGAAATCGATTATTTTGAAAGCTTATTTGATAAATTCGTGTAAAATGTGATCGAAACCATGTGGCTTTTCTTCTTTTCTTTTATCAAGTGTGTCACAAGGAATTTAGCTAATTGTTCAAGAAGAATTTCGCGTGCAACGAATTCCTCTGTAAAAATATCTTTATTGAATTAATAAATTATACAAGATTAATGTTCGTACGTTACAAAAAATATTATATAACTCTATAATTATTTCAAATTGTATAGTAGAAAGATGGTTTAAATCAATAGTTTTAATGTTACTATCATGCTTGCAAGTTTTTGCTAATCTACTACGAAAATACTAAGACCTATATCTTAAAATGTTTGAATGCGTTTGAGCATTTGATGGCTCCTCGGTATTAATAATTACATTAAAATCTGTGTCATCATCAAGAAGTTCAAGAAAATTTTTCAAAGAATTTTGTCACAATTTTAGATCACATACAGAAATAAGATGAAGCCCGTTGTGATATAAATAGAAAAATATAGTCCTATCAGAATTTGAATTAGCAAGTCTTACAGTATAGTAACTGTTATAAATTTTTTTGAAATTTATGGGTATATATCAATTATAATTTGAGAACTGCCAATCTATTTTAAATAATTTTAAAATTAAATAAATGCTACAACATAAAATTTTATTTAAATAGTTGAAAATAAATTATTGATCGTAATGAACTCAAGATAATAACTTTATTTTGAAAATAGTAATTTGCTTTAAGTAATCTAGAATATTTGAATTTTAATGATACCATTAGAATTAAACAACTTAATCTATACCTCTATTTAAAAAAATTTAAAGATAGAATAGTTTACTTAGTAAAGAAATTCTTTAATATAAAGTAATATAACGATAAAGTGGTAAAAGATATACGTACCATCAATTTTATGTACAATTTAAAAAAGTACGCTTAACATTTAACGAAAAATTGAGTATTAACAAAGTAGTTTGAGATATTGCAATATTTTAAATGTATTACTTTTTCTTTTAATACAGAATTGAATAGAATTATTAATCATATTATGTCATTTCTAGAAAACTGACAAAAAAGTATCGCACGTCAAAAACGTCTAATGACGTTATTGAATTTCGTCTAATAATTACCTCAATCGAATCAAATAGCATCATTACATTAAATACTAATTTAAAACCTAAATTTACATGAACAAAATTTGGTAAATTTATTTTTCTTCATGGTATATCGTAATAACAGTTTAAACGATAGTAGCGTAAATTATGAGGAAGAAGAAGCTCGAGAGTGGAGGCAGCCACGTTCACAACAAAAGAACGATGTTTGTACTACATCCGCTTTGAAAAGAATGCCTGATGAAGTGTGGTTGGTAAGCTTTAAGTAATCACTTTTATGATCTTTAACATTTAGTTTAAGATATTTATAAAATTTCATAATTTTTTTTTTTTTTAGATTCCACCAAATATCGATGTAAAATTAGTTCTAGGTGATAGAAAAATCAATATGTCACGTATTGAAGAATCAACAAATACGCACATGAGCTATAATGAAGTTGAAGGGGTAAAAAAATAATTATCATCAAAAAAGTTTTTACTTTATATCTGATTTTTTTCGTCATTATGTATACAGCAAATTGAAATGTGGGGAACGCGTCGTGATCTTGATCAAGCTATTATGCAATGGAATATGATCGCTCAGAATATTCATGATGTAAGTTCTTAAAAATTATATTTTTATTTATTGATATAGACTGATTTTATCTATATGTCTTCTTTTTTTTTTCAAGGAACAAATTAAAACCAGAAGTGCAAGAAAAGTCAAAGGTTGGGCTAGACCTGAAAAAGCACTTACAGAAAAACAGATTCGAAAATTACAACGTAGAGAAGCAAGAGAAAAGGAAGGTCATAATCTTAAATGTTTTCCTAACATCGAACTTCCCTTTTCTTCTCATTTTTATTTTCCGGATCGTGAAATTCCAATTTCGCGAATCATTGGTGAAAAAGATGAATTTTTGGATCCGATTCGCGTTCAAACTAAATGCTACATGTGGTATGAACCACAAAATCATGTAAGCCAAACGTAATAAAAGTGTAAAGTCAAAATATTCTATTTATGAATATATTTTTTTTTTATTCAAGATGGTTAGAGTTATTGGCGATGATGATGATAATGTTTATGAAGCAATTTCACGCGTTAAAAATCTTTACCTTAAAGTTTTCTTAGTAAGAACATATAAAAAAAGTTTATCAATAATCATCGTATATTTAAAACAACTAGAAACATCTATTTATGCTTTTTATAGGCTCGTAACATTCCAATAAAGAGAGGTTGGGTTTATCATATGATCGAACAACCTCGAATGCCTTACAAAGTTAGGATCGCAGATCCACCTAATTGTGTCATACCACCTTATGATTTGATTGGTTTCTTTAAGGTTCTCGAGCCTGTTATTGACAAGCAACCTAAGGATGACACAGAGACTGAAATTTTTGAGTGAGTCAACATTTTAATTTATACATTACGTTACGTTATGTTAACAAATTTATTTTTACACATTTTAGTGTTTACTCAGAAAATGTCAAAAGAGTTGAAGACGCTCTATTGAGAGCTTTACAAACCGTTTATTTGTTCGATGAAGAAATCAAAATGCGCATTAGGTGAATAATTTCGTTAGTACAAATAAATTAAATATAATTATTTTTATTTCTTATTTATAATCTATTTTGACAAACTCAGATTTGGCCAAATATGTCTTACATATTTTCCTAAATATATGTCATCGTGGTCGATTGACAGATTGAATAACCTAGTATTGAAAGATACTCGTTTGCAATCAAGGTTCGCTACATGGTATGATTTATTAATTTTTATTTTATTTTATTTTACTTTTCTGATTTATGTTCAACACAATTAAATTAATCTTGAAAAAAATTTTATTTTTTTTTAATATAGCATTACAACCGATTCTAATCAATTCAAAAAATTAGAGGAGTATTTTACGAATAACCAACAAGTATGGGAAAATTCATCTTTCCATGAATTCAAGATTTGCGCATCCCGTCGTCCCATTAAATATGGTGAACCAAGATGGAAATGTACATTCGACGTATCATTTAAGAATGATAAAATAGGATTATGGAATGCTGTTACGAATGAAAAAAATGTTTTGGAGATTAACATGGCTTGTTTAGATTAGTAAGTATAAATATTAATTATAATATAAAATTTATATAAATATTATAAATATTTAGATATGTATATTTGCTTTTAGTGGAAGTTCATGGAGACTTTCCATCAAAACAGCTAAAAGACTTAGTATCGACAAATTTGGACCTCAAGGATCATTTGTTTATAAACTAAGATTAAGGTACTATCATTTGCAAAAAAAAAAATTTAATTAATAATTAAATATATGTGTATATATTTTTACTAATATTTAAACAATAGTCCACAAAATCATTTGGTTTATACAAATACTGAAGATGTCGTTGTTACTTCAGTTTGCGAAAAAATTAAAAAGAAATTTTTGTGGAAAGAACATTTTATAATTGAAATTACACGATATGAATATTGGAATTGTGAAGGAAAATTTTTAAACATTTCACCTGGAGTGGAAATTCTTTTACAACGTGAGCCATCAGAAACTGTTTCATTTGGAATTACGGTAAATGACTTAATTGAATTATTAGCAGTTTTTTTGTTTTCTTTTTTTTTACTAATCAATTTCTTAACATATTATTATTAGTTGTATAAGAAATCATGGGACGACGATTTTTCTGCAAACGGTAATTTAAATTCAGGAGAAGTGCCTGAATGGTATCCTGATGATATATCAGGCGGTGTTAAACAAATGTTGGATGATATAAATGAATTCTTGAAAGTTTTGCAAGATTCTGATGTTGTTAAACCAAACTTATCGAAGGACGATTCTTTAAAATAGTTACAATATACTATACATAACATAAACTTATATGCAGACAATACTTCCAACTGCAAAAATACTTTTTTTGATATATACACGTACTGTACGTAAATACAGTATATAAATAAATTGCTTCTTGCATTAATAAATTCTTTCAATATAATTGTAACACAAAATGCCAGATGTTTTAACGATCATATTATCCTTAATTTGCTTCATATTTATTAATTTTTAATACAGTATTTATAAAGAATAGCCCGTTTTTAATATTACTCTAGCAGAATTTGTATAATTAGGTGATTTATTGTATGTCATGTCATAATTTTTGAATTAAATTTGATACTAGCAATCTAACTTACAGTATATTAAAGTCCAAAGTTTTGGAACGATCCCAATTATTAATAATATAAAACTTATTATCATAGGTCTTTGGATCTTACTCGTAAAATGAAAATCTTAATATGGTACAATACATACATTTATAAGTTTTAAGCTCTATGCTGCAAATTTTTCAATCGATCTTTTTCAAAGGAACATAATAATAATATAATTTATAAATAAAAAATAGTCGTTTTTAATAGTGGAAACTAGAGTTGGGTAACGAAACCCGAAACTATATATAAAATCCCGAAACCTTTTCCGAAACTCTATACTATACTGAAAGGGTTAGAATTTTAATTTTAGAC